GAAGAAGCAAATTCTTCGCATGGAATGAGGCGGACTAGTTTTTGCTGGAGAAATAGATTCCTTGTTGAAATGGAAGGACAATGAGTAAACGAAGATATTGGACCCTTGTAACACCTACCAATGATACCTTTTGTACTGTTGGGACTATTTGGCTCGCTGCAAATGATACCTTTTGTACCCTTGGGACTATTTGGCTCGCTGCAGCCTCGTAACTGCAGTTGCTTGTAACTAGGACAGCCTAGGTTAGGACAAATTTTGAAAACCATCCTATTTGAGAAAATAATCGCAAATTCTGATCTATTCTAAAAATATTTATCAAAACCGACCTAGTTTCAGCCGTATGGCTGAAACTTGGTCGGTTGTGACAAAATATGTTTCGAAACTTCACGGGACTTCAAGAAGTTTTGTAATGTACAAAAACTTCACGGGACTTGAAGTCCCGTAAAGTTTCGGAAGATTTTTCTTCACAAGCGACTCAGTTTCAGACCGACGGCTGAAACTGAGTCGGTTTTCACAATTATTTTATGAATGGGTATTATTTTCTCAAATAGGATGGTCCAAAAATTTTCCGCCTAGGTTAAGTTGTCTGTTTCATTGCAACTAATAAACATGGTCTCAATTGCAGTTGCAAAATGATTTCCAGTTGCAGCCGACAACTTATGCAGAACTTGACACAAGTTAGAATTGCAACCTTTGTTACTTTTCAACTCCTTTTTTATATTTATTTTCAACCACCAGCATCCAAAATAATCTGAACCCTTAAACAAACACTTGAAACTACAAGCGGTAAAATTCTAAAAACTTAACTAAACAAATGAAACAGCAATTACATGCAATTATAATGTGATTGGTAATTTCATTGCAATTACAGATTCAGTAAACCAAATGATTGTTTTGGGATAATTTTACCATACACTACATGTTACCTGCAACATAGCTAGTCTTTTTTTTTGGGGAAAGCATTAAAGATGATGGTATTTTCTTAATACTTAGCCAACTGTTTCCATTGTAGCATGCGTTGAGCATTCAAAATTAAACAAGTCTTGCTATCTTATCTTCTACAAGGGTGTCTCAGGTGCTCCTAGTCCTATGATAGAAATTTGGAGATTATGCATTATTTCACTATACGCTCCAATTTCATAGGCTCTTGGTAGCATGAACCTTCTATTTTGAACATTGTTGCCCTGGAAATTATTCCGATAATATAAATAATCTGTGAGCCGGGATTAGAATCTTCAATTATGAAGCATATATTTACTTCAAGATTTGCGTTCTTTAACTTTTCGATGTTGTTGAGAGGGTCAGCTTATTCTGGTCACTGTTCGTTCTGATTAATTGGCTTCATTCCGATGCAAATACTAACTAATAATCTGATTAAACCTGTTTTTATACATGTTTTGGTAAAAAAATACATATCGAGCAGTTTGAAATCTGAATACAAATATAGATATCGGTAACATGCAAGTAATATTTACACTTGATGCGTCCCTGTTAATATTTATAGTTTTTCTGCAGAACATTTTTGTTGAATATTTTTTCTTTTTCTGATGTAAGAACGCTCAAAATTGAAGGTCAAATTTATCTTTTACTAGCTACTAGCCGTGTAATCTGATAATGATTAATGTCCTTCTTATATTTCTCTCATATTTGAATCAGAATCCAAATTTATTAGTTACTTTTCGCTAAGTTCGCCAAATATGATTGTTGAGTTTAATATATGAATAATGTTCAATTTTTAACAAACATCTAGAACAATACCTGGATTCACCTCTTGGCATTAGTATTCGCGTAGAACTTTCGATGCGCTAGAATAGTTAATTTGATCCTTGTTGGTTTTGGTTTTGGTGATTGTCTTAAAACTTCTAAAACATAATTTGTTGATGGTTTTGTAGTTAATCCATGGTTAAGTATAACAATCATCGAGGATTAAGACAACTTCAACGTATACTTCAAAAGTACATAATTTTGGTTTTGGACTAAAATTGGCACGTACGTTAGCGCGTAACTACTTGCATTTGAACACGGGCTCTCAGAATTCCAGTCTCGATCCTTCACCGATAAACTAGGACTCACCAAATCCCTAATGTTTATCCTATCACTTGTTTTAGATTGTAGTTGGACTTTTGGCTCGGGAATTATTTGAGCCCAAAGTCTACAATTTCGCAAACCAAATTAGATTAATGGATCCAAATATGGATATAATTCAATTAGTTAAGAAATCAGATATAGATTACATTATTAAATTGGTTAATTAACTAATCATGTACGCGCTGCCATGCTCATTCCTTTTCTTTAAATAAATAAACAAAGGCATGTGTGTGACACCTACAAATCATATCATATCATACTCTCTTTAAAAGCACGAGTTTGAGAAAATCTTTCGGTAGATAAAAATACTCTTGGAACTCACGTATTAATATATATATCTCAAATATCTAATCCCTTAGCTTTTGTTTAACTAACTTCCAATCAAAATCTAAATTTAAATAATGATCCAATATACTAATCCAATCTAATCCCTTAGCTTCCGTTGATAAGATTTCTCGTAGACCATCAGTTATCTAACTCCAACCAAAATATCGGACATGTTTTGAAAAAAAAATATGGAAAAGAGATATTGATGAATGGCAGCAAAATCAATGCAAGCTCGGTGAGATATTGATATGAGTGTAGGCTGTCTAAAAATCACAATAGATAGCTGATCCCCATCAAAACACCGATGATGGAAGTTACAATCTAACGACTTCCAGAAGGCTATAATTTGAAGACTTTCACGTAGATCGCTGAAGGTTACAATCTGACAACCTTTACGACAACCGATGAGAGCTCTAGTTTAACAGCCTTCACCATCAACATCGAGAGTTACAATCTGACGACTCTTGCATATCAAAGAGCTAAAGTAAAGATTACAAAATGACGATCTTTGCAACGCTTCGACAGAAAGAGACTACAAATCAATGGTCTCTTCAAATCAAGACGTGGAAGTCCTCCCCGCGTACCAGCATCAAGATGCGCCGCGTTCATAGCCACGAACGCAGTTCAAATGCAGCTCCAAAAGTTGCAAACGCAGCTTAAATCGCCACTGGACGCAGCTCTATTCGCTGCCCGACGCAGCTCAACATCGCTGCCCGACGCAGCTCAACATCGCTGCACAACGCAGCTCAACATCGCTGCACAACGCAGCTCTATTCGCCGCCCGACGCTGCTCAACGCAGCTCCAAACGCTGCCCAACGCAGCTCTATACCGCTGCCAAACGCAGCTTTCATCCGCTGCAAACGCAGCTTCCAATCACTGCGTTCAAGCTTCCAGACACTGCGTTTGGACACAGAATTCATGCCAGAATGCAGGATCTGCGTTTGACTCGTTCAAACACGAGTTGAACGGTTTCAAAACCGTTTCCCACGATCTGAGGGGATCACAACTCCACTCAGGAGTGATTTAAGGGGCGGTTACATCCCATTAGCCCCACTTAGGAGCGAATTAAGGAGGTGGTTACACCCCTTAATCCCCTATAAAAGCGAGTAAACTCAACTGAGTTAAGGGTTCGATTTTTCTTGGCTTGAATCGACCATTGAAGGCTGCTTGGCTTATAACCGACTTTCGGTTAAATCAACTCTTTCATAGAGTTTTAAACTCGTTCAGAGTTCTCCACAACGTCAAATCGTGAGGAGAAGACTATGTTCCAGTGAAATAGATATTCGGATCGTCAACGAGAAGCAAACTCGACGCGAGCATTCGAGGGAGGCATCTCATCGCCACCGTGAAGAACCCAGAATTAAACAAAGGAGAGAATCCAGATCATTCTCTTCTCTTTTGTAATCAGGAAATCCAATTGTAACTGAGATTAAAGGAATACGAATCAATTTTCCTTCATTGTCTTTTTACTACAAATTTCCCACAAACAAAAGATGGCGACTCTGCTGGGGACTAGCTTCTCTGACGAAGAAGTGGTGGCGCAATCTGATATTCATCTTATTGGAACAACCGTCGAAACTCTTATTGTAGAGTTTGATCAAGCCAAGTTTGAGGAGGCTATCTCCTCCGGATCCCTTAGCCCCAAGGCTATACGCAAGATCCACAAAGTCTCCAAAGAGACTAAAGCTCCAACTGCTCCAATTGCAGCCGAACCGCCTAAGGAAGACTGCTCGGACAGCCCCTCCCCCGATGGAGTGGGCTCAGCTTTAGCCAAACCCGCGCCAAGACGACGGGTATCGGGTCGAAAGATGTCCATTGAGGCGACAAAGGCCTTGAAGCAGGCTAGGAAGAATGCCGCTCGACGCAGGAGGAGATCCCTACGACGAGCACATCTCCGAGAATGCCGATCCTCAAGTCAACATGAGCTTCGTGTTTGTGAGCCTAAACGCGACCCTATGCCCTGCGTTTCTGTTTCAGAATGCAAGTCTCGCGTCTATGAGCCCAAGCATAGGCTCTGTGTGAAGAAGACTGAGCGCAACCCTCAGGGGCGCGTTCCACAAAATGAACGCAACCCTCAGGGGTGCGTTCCACAAAATAAACGCAACTCTCAAATATGCGTTTCATCAGCAAAACCTGAAGCTCAGACATGCGTTCGGGTGACGAAATTCAATATGGAGTCAAGGCATCTCAACCAGATCCATGTTCACCAAGAGCCAGTCTTGTCTAATCATGGGCTGGGGGTTCCGATTCAAAGCTCACGATCAGTGAGTAACTCTCCTCGAATCTTTACAACAGATTTGAAAGAGTTCATATTGAGAGAAAGACCGATGCAACAAGTCATTCGTTCATTCCAATGTGAACGACTGATTCCTACGGTCCTCTCGGGATGTCAATGCTGCTCATATGCGGCCAAACTGTTGGTGTTCAACCAATTTCCAGAGA